TAAAAAAAAAAAAAAGACCTAGGGATGCTAATCAGCGGTTAAGTGACCCTCGGTTAAATCCTCAGTACCATAAACAAACAAACAAAAAATCAAATACTTAGACTTTTAATAATATAGAACCATATGATTATAGTCAAAGAGTTCTTAAGCAGTGAATATAGTTCAGTTTAAAAAATACAGGTGAGGGCTGTGTTCCTGGCTCAGTGATAGAGTGCTTACCTTATATGTGTGAGGCACTGTGTTAAATTCTTAGCACGACATATAAAAAAATGAATAAAATAAAAGTCCATCAACAACTGAAAATATATTTTTAAAAATATGGGTGAGTTTATCTTTTTTTTATATTTGCCTTTAAGTATTCTCATTCATCAAAAACTAAGGGAATAAAAAATATATACTTATTTAAATGTAGTTATTCCTTGAGGGCAGTTTTTTCATAATTATAAAATACTGTGTATGCTGTTAGTCCATATCCAAAAAAATATGCTTAATTTTAATAAATTTTTAACTGTTACTTTGTGTTGGGAAGTCTACTCTCCTAAAGTTGTGTTTCAAATAGTGATGATGAAAAGGGAGGCTGATAATTACCAAGAATCTGGTGACAGTGCATTAATCTAGAACAGTGTGTATTTAATACCACTATTTAATTAACTCTGAGATTGGATAATGTTTATTTTAATAAACTTTTAAAATCTGGTTTCTAAAATTTTGCATTTATAAAATCATACATATTATGATTTATTGTTCTAGCAACTTTGAAATTCTATGACATGTTACTTAGCAGGTATTTTAAAGGAAATGCATTGATTTAACTCAGTAAGTCTTCAATATGTGATTGTGAAATTAAAATAATGTCATATATGATACAACATTACCAGGCTAATAGTATCATATACTTATATATTATAAATAAATTATCTTATTCCATGGTGAACTTTATTTGTTATTATGCATCAGCAATAAAAGTCAGTAAATGTTAAGTCAGGAAATAGTATTTAGTTAAACTTTAATTAAAATAGCTAATCTTAATAAACATTTTTGTGACTTGACCACAGTTTTCTTATAAAATCTTAATAATTTGAATTAATAGAATATAAAATTTCTGAGATTCAAATATATAAAACTAACTTACTTTTTTTCCTTATGCATATTGAGAAGAAAGTATAGATCTTACAGAATTTGTTTTACTTAGAAAATTTAAACTAGTTTTAGAAAAAAACGTTTTTTTCCATACAGTCTATTTTTTATCTGAACTACAGCTTGGGATGCTTACATATGGCCTTTGTTTTATTATCACATTGCTATATTTTGCATTATATTGTCATTCTAATTAAAGGAAAGAAAGTTGTGAGTGGATCTTCAAAAGTCATATTCCCATAGGCTTGTGATTATAAATGCAGTGTATAATACAACACTTAGGGTGAGACTGTTTTCATTTGATGATTAATTACAATTAATCTACTGCATTTAAAGCTCAATCTCTAGCTCTGTCTACTTTCATGTACATATGTTCATGAAATAGTTTCATGTGCATATGAAAGAAGATACCTCTATCAATTACTAATATATCTTAGGTAAGTAACTTTTAGAGAATTAATTTCATCTTTAAATATCCATTAAATTAACTCTGTACACAGCATCATTTTATAATATCATATGTAATTAGTTGTTATTGTTTTCTGTGTAGAACCCCAAATCTCAGGAGCCAGTCACATTGGATTTCCTTGATGCAGAGTTAGAGAATGATATTAAAGTAGAGGTGAGTGTGATCAACAGGACAAAGGCAGACCTCAGGTCACTGCTTCACTTCTTCTATGCTTCAAGTATCTGTCCAGCAACTGTGTTGTGTTAGGCTGTCTCTTAGGTACCACACACACAAAGATGAATATCCTCTATCTTTAAATTTTCTAGGTTCTATCTTCTCCTCATCCAAAGGATGATATGAGAAGACATAAATATTTCAAGTTGGGTATGACCTAAATGTTTTTCTCCTTTCAAAGATAGAGGTATTTTAACTATTCCAATACTAAAAGGTCAGAGATTCAATAAAAATCATACAAATGGACATTACCACACAGTTGAAAGAGGAGTTGGGAGGCATCCAGCTACCTGACCACATGAGGAAAACATGAGCAGAGCAGCTGCCATATTTGTCTTCGCACACTTTACTCAGCAAATTTCTATTTTATTTCAAAACAAAAATCACATGTCTCTTCCTCTGAGAGGGTCTTTCATGATAATAAGGGGTTAATAGTTAAAAATAACACTAAGTACATGATATCAGTCATGGATTTTCAAGAGCCTTTGAAAAAGATATGGAACATTTTATTATATCTATTGCACTGATGATAACTTTGCAGTAAACAGAATTAAATAGTAACTATAAAAAGTTACTCAGTAAGTTGCAGGAGTAGGCTCTTATACTCCAGAACACAGGTTTGGGGTATTTTTTTTTAGAAGGATTCACTTCTTCTTTCATCTATGCCAAAGTTATGTATTTCTTTTAAAACTTGTCATGACATAATTTTAATTTACTCCCTCATTGCACAACCATAAGATTTAACTATGATTATCCTAGGCTGTGGCACAGAGCTAGGACATTTTCACTGGCTAATGAATATTAGTTGTCAAGTGTTATATACAATAAAGTAGAATAAGGTAGAGGTGGCAAAATGGATGTCTGAACTCCTCCCTGCTCAGTCACCACAATGATCACCACAACATTTAGTCTCTCTAAGCCTTAGTTTCCCCTCATGATTGCATGAAATAATATCTAGAAAGAGCTCGGAAAAATATCTGCTTTGTGGTCAAGTCTTCATTTGTTTGGAGCCTTGATGGGACATTCAACTTTCCTAAGGAGCTGCTCTCTGCTCTTTCCTTTTGTGTTTTTCAGACCTCAAGTATTTTAACTAAATTAGACTAATCACATACTCTTCACATTTAATTTTTTTTTTCACACCAAGTTTGTTCACTTATTATGTGTAGTTACCAAATGCCAAATGCAAGTGTCCAATTGAGTTATAGAAAATGAAAAATAAGCTAAAGAAAATTTTGATAATTTCCAGTAGATGAATATTTTGTAAATTAATGTGACCTAATTCATTTTTTATAATTTGGGAAATTGCCTATAAGGAAGCTAAATTGTTTTATTAAATCCTAGTAGGTCTTTATAATCCTCTCTATCGCTTGCTTATATTGTATTTGTACTGTCAGAGATGACAAATAGAAAATGAATAATGGATAAAAAGTATTGGGAAATAAAATTGACAGATTTATATTATTATATTTTGTACCTGTTCAAATATATAACAATTAATGTCATTGTTCTGCATAATTATAATGCACTAATAAAAATAAAAAAATTCTTTCTCATATAAAACTGATTAGATGAAGTTGAAATTTGAAATATTCCATAGTACATGCTAGTTCTGTAAATGCATATACATTTCTCTTTCTCAATGAGAACTTTTCATGTAAATGTAGCCAGCCTATAAGACAGTTGACTACTTTTTTTTTTTACTCTTATGTTTCAAAAATTAATGATTGGTTGAAAAAAATTTATTTCAGGTGCTCTTGTTATTTTAAATATAAAATGATCAGAGTTTGAAAACTTTAAAAAATAATTCCCAGAGAACAACTGCAACTGATAGTCAAACCAGTCTACCATTTATATTCATTCTGTTCAAAATAAGGAAAAACCTTGAAAAATGAATAAAATCATTCTTCAATAGGTCTGTTTGATTCCTGGAATAAAGTAGTTGTTTCGTTTTCCCTTAGATTCGAAATAAAATGATAGATGGAGAAAGTGGAGAAAAAACCTTCAGAACTCTGGTTAAATCTCAAGATGAGGTAAGAATTCATTCTTTTGTATTCTTAAAGTATGTGTTAATAATAATCGATCTTGACAATTTGTCTTTCCTTTCTGCTAATCTCATATTTACTTATATAATAAGGAAGTCTCTAATGAGTAATTTTCTTTTAAGACACTTCTTAACTAGGGGAATATTTTACTAAGATATTTTCAACTCTTTTCAAAATATTTTTGAAATAATATTGCTTTAAGTTTTTATATATGTATATTTTTAAATAATTGAAAGCTATATTTGATGTCTGTATATTTTATCATTATAAGAAATGAAACATACAACATAATATTGTGCTATGTTTTAAGCAACAATGAAAATTGAAGTTAATATTGAAGAGCTGTATGTTTTATGATTTGTGCATATAGACGTTCTAATTGTTGTGTTCTGAATGTTGTTTTGTGTTTGTTTGTAGTTGGAATTATCTCTTTTTTTACTATTTATATATTTCCTGCATTTAAATCTGAAATTAAAATATGAGCTAGCACAACTGACCTCATTTATCACTGTCTTATTTAGTAAACATATTTCTTTATGTTTATATGTAAGATCTCTTGTGGATAAGGAATAGCTAACCATTAATCAGTCATGTGGAATTAAAAAGGACATTCATATATTTGAGTATCTCAAAAATATATAGGACTCAGAGGTTTTTGTGCCTGGAATTTTAACCTTAGCTTTTATATATAAATTATATCCATCCCTCTGAAATCTCATACTTTTTTCCCAGATTCTCCCCAATTCCTCAGCAGACGTTTCTAAAGATGGACCTAGGTTCTAAATGTGGTCCTTCATTAGCACATGGCTTTTCTCATTTTAATATCATTATGAGTCCCTCTTACCAGAGCATGAGGAGGTATATATACACTTCAGTCTTTATTGAGCTATCTACTCAGTATTGACTTAGACTTTAGCCATGCTCTTTTCCTTTTCACTCCCTGCATGAAG